GTCCTGGGAACACCTGTGGGGCGAGAGCTTGGTGGGCGGGCGTCGGGGAGGGACGGGGAGCTCCAGGCCACCATCCCTGCCTGCACCCCAACCCGTGCCAGCTTCTGGGGTAACAGCGACGAAAGCGGAGCCCTCCGGCTGTCTGTCCGGGACGGGTTCGCTCCCGAAACCCGGGGGCGAGGGATAGGCAGGGAGCAGGTGCCGCGCCCAGAAACCAGTAAGTGCGCCCGAAGCACAAATGGCCAGCTGACGCCCAGCGCGGAGATGGACGCCTCCCGCCCCCACGGCGGCCCTTACCTGCCTGTGGGTCCTTCCCGCGACGCCCAGGCGGTGACCCAAAGCCACCGCTGCCCTCGCCTCCTGGCCAGCTGGCCCCTGGTTCACGCCAGGGCACTGCACGTGGCGCCATGGCCCGGCTCTCTGTAAAGGAAGACAGAGTTTTGTCTGAAAGCGGATTCTTAACTTGGACCCTAGACATCCCCGGGGTAACTTCTGCTGCCGGTCCGGAGGCCTCTGCAGGAGTCTGCGGAGTTTCCCGCGTCTGTGCAGTTTTTCTGAAAAGAGCGTCCATAGTTTTCATGGCTTTTCCAAAGGAGTCTGTGATCCTAGAAAGGTTAGACATCACTGATTTAAAGGCTCCATCCTAAAGGGAAAGGTCAATGGTTACCACGGGTAATCAGAAATACAAGCGGAAAGGCTGGGGATCCGGCTTCCGCCCGGTCCCTTACGACTCCAGACCTGTGGGCAGGAAGGCTCCCCGCTGCTCATCGCACCGGCCTTACCTTCCCCTGCCCCCTCCCGGGTTTGGGTTTATTCTTGATCTTTGCTCCTGATAAGGCTGCCTGTGCAGGTGTAGCGGCCAGTGAGCGAGGCATGAGCAGAACAGGAAGGAGGGGCCAGGTGCAGAGGGTCTCGGGTGCCTAACAACGGGCATTACTACCAGCCTTGGTAGGGCACTCCCTTTAGGCAGTAACCCCTGGAGATGGCAGCTAGGCCTCAGCTGTGTATCAGCGCCAAGCCCAGGAAAGCAGCAGAACCAGGCGGAGCCTGCCCTGGTGACATCAGCACCAGCTGCAGTGACTAATGACCCCTCCCCAGCAGGACCAATCAGTGGAGCCCAGGACCCTGAGGAGAGACGGCAGGCGGAAAGCTGATGAATATTCTCCTGAGGTCCTCCAGAGACCTCAGACAGAGCCTGCTTGCTCGGGCCTGCTGTTTGTGCCAGATGTGTGTGCAACCCCCAAGGAGGGAAGCCAGGTGGCAAGTGAATATTAATGATATGTTTTGACTCCTGCAATAAAAGCATGACAGAGCGGGTGAAGAAGGCACCACAGAAAGGACATGGTTTGCACGGAGTTAGGAGGTCAGGGTGTGGAAGGGCATTCAAGGCAAAGGAACCAGTGCGTACAAAGTCCCAACTCGGAGAGAACACCTTGCCTGGGAAATGACAAAGGGCTCAGCATACCCGAAAGTGTAGGGCAAGAGAGGCAACAAGCGTCCGGCTGCATCTGGTGGACATACCATGAGGAACGAGTGCCATTTATCCTACAGAGTGTGGACCTCCTGGGCACAAGGGAGAGTTTTCACTTTTATTTTATTTTAATATATTTTGATTTTTTTTTTTAAAGGGAGAGGGATAGAGAGTTAGAAACATCGATGAGAGAGAAACATCGATCAGCTGCCTCCTACACACCCCCTACTGGGGATGTGCCCGCAACCAAGGTACATGCCCTTGACCAGAATTGAACCTGGGACCTTTCAGTCCACAGGCTGACGCTCTATCCACTGAGCCAAACCAGTTAGGGCATATTTAAAAAATTTTTTTATCCTCACCTGAAGATAGTTTTCCATTGATTTTTAGAAAGAGTGGAAGAGAGAGAGGGAAAGACAGAGAGAAATATCAACGTGAGAGAAACACATCGTTGGTTGCCTCCTGCACGTGCCCCGACCAGGGCTGGACCAGGGGGGAGACTGCAACAGAGGTACATGCCCTCGACCAGAATCGAACCCGGGACCCTTCAGTCCGCAGGCCAACAGTCTATCCACTGAGCCAAACTGGCTAGGGCAGATTTTTCACTTTTAAAGTGTCAAATGCTATCCCTTGGAGAACTAGCTGTCAGGCTGTCCCTGAGGGCCTTAGGAGCAGGAAAGCTAGAGTGAAGAAGTGAAGTCCCCTGTGGGCTAGAAGGTTCTGGGATAGCTGAACCGACCTGTGCTGCAGAGCCGGCCCCAACCATTACTTCTGCCTGAGCTCAGCCCTGTGAGATGGCAGGAACCCTGTCCCCATATGCCTGAGTCCAAGGTCACATTGACAACAACTGGGTAAGAACCCAGTCCTTCCAGCTCCCATTGGTCTTCATTCATAAGCTTGTAGCCAGCCATAGACACTAAGGTACGTGCTGGTTTGTCTCATTTTACCCAGGAAAGGAGATGCATGAGCTAAGAGGGAGATAGGCAGCATGTAGCTAAGAGCACAAGTGTGGAAGGAAAGCTGCTGTTCACATCACAGGTTGGCGGCTTTCTGCAATCCAACTAATAGACCTAGCAGTGATGGCGTGTCAGAGGTGACACGCGAACTCATTTTTTTGGTTGATTTTTCTTTGTTAAATGGCATTTAAATATATAAAATAAATATCAAAAATATAAGTCTTTGTTTTACTATGGTTGCAAATATCAAAAAATTTCTATATGTGACACAGCACCAGAGTTAAGTTAGGGTTTTTCAAAATGCTGACAGGCGGAGCTCAAAAGGTTCACCATCACTGAAGAGGGCTCTCACCCTGCAGGAATGTGTTGCAATAGTGCCCTCATGTGGACATTCTGAGAACAGCACCCTCGTAATCAATTCTAGTCTGAAAAGACCCAATTGATAGACCTAGAGGGCTCTCACCCTGCAGGGAGGTGTTGCAATAGTGCCCTCTTGTGGACATTCTGAAAATGCGTTGGTGTAGGTTTCGCCTGCTATTATACTACTAGATCTATATTACCTCTGGTCCCTTTGAGAATATCTGGCTGGAAGCTCTGTGTGGGGCAGAATGTAACTACCAGAATCAGGAGGGCTCTATTCTGTGTTGCCAACATCCACACTGCAAGTCCTAGATGACCTCAGATATTTAGTTCAGTCACATGAGAGAAGAGCCTTACGTTTTCTGTCTGGGAAAAATGTTACCTATACTTTGCAAACTTGAGTATAGAGAGGCAGGGCAGTGGGCTGGAGCAGTCATCCCCACTTCCCTGCCCCAGGTGGTGTGGGTCTATGTTTATTATATACTGCCATCTAAGGTGCCACTGCCCAGTGCCCTTGGCCTGGCATTCCACCTCAGACACATGGGCACAGAAGGTCGACCTTGGCCTTAACCATGATGCTGGCTTGGTTAAGCCTCCTCCACTCAGGCAGCTAGGGGACGATCAGGATCTCCTTCACCAGAACAGAGGGAACGAGGCAGGGCAAGGATATTAGAATTGCTAGGGTTTCTGTACTCCACTGTCCGTTGGTCTCAGTTTATTGTTCTACGATGGTGCTGGCTGGCTTCTACATCTCCTTCTCCTGTGGCTGGCTTCTACGTCTTCTCCCCCTGTCAGTCTAGCGTTGTCATGGCTCTGGGGTGGAGCTTCTACCTTGATTAAGGCGGCTGGGTTTTTCTTTTAGGCTGGAGTCAACCCTGCGCGCACGGATGCTGTCCAGGTACTGCCGGACACTGAGGAACTCCCGTCTCCAGCGCCCCAGCTTTCTCAACTGGTCCATCAAGAACTTTTTTTTCAGGTGGTCATGCAAGTGGCTCATCTTTTTCTTGGTCTTTTCTACCGTTTTCATCTTACAGAAAAACAAATGAGGTTAGGATGAAGAAACTACTAACAAGAGAGGCGTCTGTGTTGCTGATAGGAGGGTAGACAATAGGCCAGCCTATTTCCCTGTTTGTAAAATGTGGGCGTTGAGCTAGATAACTCCTATGGCACCTTCTGAGAGTCTGCAGCCTAGACCCTGATTTTGACCTTTACACCTCTGGTCAGAAAGAGGTGGGGGAGGGTGTGGAGAAAGGGTGCATCTTGTCCCCTCCTCTCCCCATTCTTTAACGATCACTCTGTCCCCATTACTCGCTTAGTGCTTCCCACATGTTGTATGGGACATTCCCTGCCTCCCTTTGAACTCTAGTTACTTCTTCTATTATGTCACTTTTGTCCTGTCCCCAAGACTCTAGGCTCTGGGAAGGCACATCCTCTACCTTACTCGTTCATTTATTTATTCCAATGAGCTAGCTGCGGAGAGGACACTAAGGAGAATCAGCTGCCTATCTTCACAGAAATTACAACACAGTCAGGAAGATGGGACACAAGCCCAAATGTTTCTAAGCAAGGCAGAGAGTGACACATCCCTTAAAAACAACAACAAACAAACACAGAGTTCAAAGAGGGGAGAGAGCAGGAAAAGTCCCCTGGAGGGTCGCAATAAGAATCGGGGGGTTGGGTTTTGAAGGACGGGGAAGTGTTGGGCATGTGGAAACAGAACCAGACAAGAGGTCATCCTATTTCTCCTACAGCAGGTCACTGGAAGGTTAGCAGATGGAGAAACACCCAGGCCTCCACTCTCTCTTAAGGAGGCTTAAGAGAGCCTGGCCCCATCTCTTAAGCCTCCTTCTCTCTTCAATGTCAGAATCCCATGGGCCCATCCTCCTGCAACATGGAGGGAAGCTCAACAGAGTCAATTCCGGGCTGCCTGCCCTGCTCGAAGAAATGAGTACATTTCCGGAATCCATCCTATTCACTAGTTTCTTCCCCTTCCCCACACAGCGCCTGTCCCAAGCAGACCCTCAAGGCACATTTAATGAATGAACCAGTCAGGGTCTGTGGGGCGATGCCTCTGTGGTTTCCATCCTCTTCTCCTGACAGCTTTCAACCAAGCAGGTCAAACCCTAGATGTCCATCAGCAAAAAGTAGAAGAACCTCAATTCTCATATGAAAAGTGGGGGTTAATCCCCCCCCTAAAAAAACTGACCAAACTATGTTGATGCCACTTCAAGCTCTAGGACCCAAGACTTTTTTAATGGGAGATAGTAGGAATCCATCCATGAATTCCCCAAATAGAAAGGTAATGTGCTTTCGA